GATTGTTCTGCTTAAATTGATCTCTCGAGCTAGTGGCTGCGATTTTTTTCGGAGGAGGTACAGGGTTTTGGAGTTTTTGTGAGGAGTTCTTCACTTTTTCAGCCGGTTCTCCGGCTGCTCAGATTTGTAACAGGTGGCAAGTGCATTAGCCGTCTGCATCCTCCACCGGAGGTCGCACAAGACGCAGTCACTCGGTCCTTGCCGTGAGTCTCTCAACTCATCTTTGATTTGGTCATCTCTGTCTCCCAACTCATCTCTGTGCTTAGTTTCTGCTTCCTCTACCTCAGGCTTCACTTTGTTCAATAATATTACTGTTCTTACTCCAACATATTCATTGAATGCATTGTTTTACTTTCTAATGAAAATGGCAGTGTAGTTGTTTATTTACGTTCCAAGAGCAATGGAACGTCTTGTTTGGGAAAAGGAGAACGATCAACCACGATGTAAAATCACAAATATTGCCGAATCAATACCTGTGTGGATCATCCGAATAGAGTAATAATGAGAGAGTAGTTAAATGCGTTTGCTACGCAAGGTACTGCTGAAACTATCAATTCTAGCAGTGTTCCTGATTCTGCTCTACTGCTTACAAACATCGAATGGTATTTATTGGAGTATATACAATTCCGGTGATCAAAATGGTACACAAAAAACGAACCTTTCAACCACCTTAACGTTGATAAACACTACAAAAGAAGCGACGTTAAAAAATTACGCTTCCAGTATTTTAACCTCTCCGCGACAGCATTATTATAATGTCTGGTGTATATTTACGAAAGTTACTACTAATTCTCCTATGAGGAGAAAGTTTAGGATATTTACAGAATCGCTGCTTAAACTGGCCACGGTTAAGATAGCTTTTCATGTAATAAGTGACAGCGACAGTCAAGAAATTGCTGAAAATGTGATACAAGGTGTGATGGCAATCACAGGAAGAGTAATGAAGGTATTGCTTCATTTATGTTACTTATATAAAGATCCTCCTTTTAATTTATTATTTCCAGTGTATCTTATTTCACGCTATGACGTTCATTACCTGAGCCTTCATTGCAGGTGCAATATTACGATGTGCGCCATTTAGCGTCCCAATTGGAAGACATAATATCTGCCATGTCTCCGCATTTTAGCAGTAAACCTGGAACGTACTATTCGGATGCTTTGTTTTTCCTGTCGCTAGGTTTGCACAAAATAGCACCGATCGAGCAAGAACTTGCAGTCATGTTCGATGCAGACACTAAATTCCGAAAGGATATTAAGGAGCTCTTCAAAGAGTTTGATAATTTCGGAAGCAAGGCTTTATTTGGCCTAGCACCTGAATTGACTCCAGTATACCGGCATGTGCTTTATTTATATAGGAGCAAACATCCGAATACTACTTTCGGAGAACCTAGACATTCGGGAGGATATCCAGGTTATAACAGTGGAATGGTGCTTTTTAATTTGAACAGATTACGAATGTCATTGGAATATGATCAGATCGTCAGTAAAGAAAGCGTAGAACATATGACAAGAAAGTATCGATTTAAAGTACGTCCAGAAATCCATTTGTATATTTTGATTCGCTGGAAGAATGTTAGAAAGTTAGACATTTTTTTTAAATTACTTCAGGGCCACCTGGGTGATCAAGATTTTTATACCGTTCTTGGCATGGAACGACCTGAATTAATCCACACTGTCAATTGTGGATGGAACAGACAGTTGTGTACTTGGTGGAGAGACCGTGGTTATGCAGACGTGTTCGCAAATTACTCGCAGTGCAATTCAGAGACAAAGTTATGGCATGGGAATTGTAATACACCGATTCCTGACGATTAGGCGAAAAACAGTATTTTTCTCGTCTTTTGCAATACATAGTAACTATTTTGATCTAAGAAATGTGAACAGGATATGAGCATACCAATGGTGCTAGGAAAGACACGGTGCAAACGTTTCAAAAAAGAGAAACCATTACTCCAAATGTGATCTATTGTACTCGCGATATCCTTCTTTCCAATACTTTTGTCAATATAGATATTCATTTTGAATTGAAAACTGTGATGTTCTTAAGATGAAATGTAATTGTATTACTTACAAACACAAGACGTAACGATGTAAGCTTATCGAAATGTTTTGTGAAGTTTTTACAGTGCGTACAAGATATTCGTAATAACTTATTAAACATACGACGTACTTTATTGAATATATTGAATCCGTAGAATCTCCAAGATACGCATAACTTCTTGATCTAGGATAAATTCTAACAATTTCACATACTCGTATCTAGTTAAACAAAATACATTTTCCTATTGGTCATTTGTTAATTTTTCTCGAGTGGTAGACCATATTCGAACTGAACAGTTAAAAAAGAATGGTATATCTTTAAGTTCCAGATAATTTTGTTGCAATTTATTAAGAACTTTATTGTTATTTTGGACTTTCAATTATCTCAGTATTGTGTACGATATGTAGGAGATTGGAAAACGTGTATCGATACCTATAAATTGTGTTACTCCTAAAGATTTATATATTTACACGAGTAGTACTCAAAGAACACTTCCTGAGGTAAATCCTCCAATGCCCAGTATTTCAAATAAAAGCGTACGAGTTTTTATGTATCAATTAGATAAGTATTTGAAGAAATATACTATTGGTGCTGTTCATTATTCAATGACTCATTACGAAAGACTACTTAATTAATTAATGATGGAGCAGAATAAATATTTTCCCTTACCAGGTTGGATAGTAAAATAAACACATCGAACTCCGGAAGCGGATCATTTTGGATTAACTTTAATGCAACTATAAGTTATAACGTATATAAATAGATTATACTCGTATCGTGTTATAGTTGCGCAAAGGATGATATTTAAATACAATATTGACAGAGGTACTATTTACAATACAGCTTCTACATGCGTAAGACCACCGTTTGTCGTAATCGACAAAAATCGCCTATTTTCAAACCGCGAACATTTTGAAAAAAAATAATTCATTGGCTCGGTGGTGAAATGTATGTCGGGACTCTTAATTTTAATTCTCGCCACAGGGTAGCGCCTTATGTGATTAAATTTTAACGCTCCTCGATGATCACTGTAATTGTTTGAAAAATCAAAGAAAAAAAAGCTAGTGGAAGAAAACAAAAAAGAAAAAGGTATTAAGGACTTTGTACTGCCAGTATTGAAGTACCAATAAAAAATGTTGGAATTCAGCGTCAACTGAGGAGAGAATTAATGCAAATTTACAGAATGTTTTTCCAAGTTAATATTTAAAGTACGAATAGCCTGTAGCTTAAGTAATGCTAACGAAAACAATAATTCGCTATCGGAGCGCAAATCAGATTTCATATCGCGCTCAACTATTCGCATTCCAAGTCTCAACTAAAATTAAACATTCATGTCGTTCCTATTTATTTCACGTGTAATTACGACTCCACGCGATTCCGCTTAAAGAAACTACGGTTCCATTTCGTTAATGAGAATGAGTTAACAGTTATAAAAAATGCTGCCAAATTTCAGAAGTACGAATTATTACTTTTATCGCCGAACTCGAGGCAATCATTTAAGTGCTTTCAAAATTAAGTACAAGAACCGTTAAGCTGAAAACATTGTTCCGTATAATGTACACGATAAGTTGACTATGCCCTAAAAGAAAAATATACAACAGATAAATTATTACTGTAAGGGCTGTATACATATATATTTTTTTTTAATCAACTACTGCCTTCTTTCCGTGTCATCTGAAACTGTTGTTTAGATAATTACACTGATACGTAGTGGATTAATTGTTCGTATCTAAAAGAAAATATACATTTTAAGATGAAATTTCATGGAGAGAATGGACTTATTTTGTCTATTTCAATGCAACATTAGCATATTCAATCACAAAAGTATTTGGCGACTGTTTGTCACGTAACTTGAGCAATAACCAAAAGATTAAGGTAAATAAAAACTCGGCTAACAATCGCGCAAAAAAATTTTACACCGTTAACTTCTTTTCCCACCCACCGCCGTAAACGAAAACGTTCTTTCCTGATTTTATACTAAGCACGCCCATAAACATTGTGTTTTAACGCTCAATCGCAAAAGATTTCATTTAACTTTATGAAGAAACTGGAATAATCCGTAACGCCAATTAACTAAAAACACAGAATACTCCAAGACTTACGGATAATATGTTAAGTTTTAAAATACTCCAAAAACGACGTTATTTATGAGCTTGCCAGATAAACTATCCACGGCACCGCGCAATTCCGTCCCGTGATTAGAAAATGAGACAAAGGTGATTTTCTTTTTTTAGCATTAATTTGACTATAGAGCCAGCCTTTCTCCCCAAAACGCAACAAGGGAAGAACGGCTCCTAAATTCGTTGTACGATATAAAATAAGAAGTGTGTGTTACCTTTGGTCCCGTTGATAGAAACTTACATTCTTAAAGTGTACAAGGATGATTAGAACGGTGTTAGTTGGTTACTTCATCATTAGTAAAGGTACATAATTCTCGTCCGTCCTCGTTCCGAACATTGAGCCGAGGTGCTTTTTCTTTACATTTTTATTACAATAACAATTAAAGCCTGGCCAAAGTTGAGAACGACGAGGAGTAACTTAATCGAAATATAAGAACTTACGTGCAGACCTGAATAACTGTCCAGAATAATTTTATACGACACTCACTTCGATATGACGTTTGCAATCTGTTTCTGATTAGGAAGTAGCATTTACTTATATTTGATCTGGATCCCGGTCATTAATTATAGTTTTTGAAATGTATGTTAAGTACCGACTCGAGTTTATATAAAAACAAAGAGACTAGTCGAAATACTTTTCCCGAATAAATGTAAAATACATGATACTCAATCAACCATTTTGGAGCCTTAAACAATTAACAACTAATTATAGATCGGTTTCCGCCAATTTCTCACTGAAAAGGATAAACATCTTTTTGCAGCAGATTATTGTTAAAACTATTTCAAACCTCTTATATAGATCTCGAAATGGTTTTATACAAAATTCAGCGCGATGTCTGTAATTTCTTTTAAATCTGAAATTGTCCAGAAAAAAGAAAATCCTAGTTGTTAATTAATTAAGCCGTTCAAAGTGTTACTAAAATATTTCTTTGAAAAAATATCTGGTTCAAATATTTCTGTATAATAATTTCAAAATGTCTGATGCTTAATTCACATCTTTGAGGCCTTGATAACTTCATAATCGCAATATCTGCTGCAGGCGTATGCCTGTTGATTAACGACTGGAAAGGAACGATAAACATCTTTTTACATAAAATACTTTTTATATAAAATTTTAGATAAAACTGTTTCGAAGAGACATGCAGGTCTGCTTAACGCGCGACTTCCGCGATCCTTCGAGTTCCTCGAAAGAATGAGCAAATGATAAACGATATAAGGATTCCTCGCTTTTTACAGTTTCCCGAAGGACCTCTTCCAGGCGACCGTGGTGTCCTTTCTAAGAAGGATACGATTCACCTATCCCAGTCGCCCGGAATCATTAACATTTAATTCGACGCTATTTACATGGGATATAACAGAACTCTTTTTTGGCAATTTACCACGATTGCCAGTCTAGTTGTACATACATAAAGCGTTAGGTACAATCCGCGTGGAATAATCGCTTTACCAGAAGTCCCGAAATACCAGCGGAGAGCTGTCAGATAAATGATTAAAATATCCCTCGATGACTGAAACGATCGCAGCGACTTCGCTCGGAAAAGAACCAAAAGCATCTTCATCTATTTTATTCGCTAATGACTACCCGATTTTCCGCGGCTCTCTGTCCGCGATTATTCCACTGTTCGCTCGTGGTTTATTCACTTAATTCCTTCCCTTTTTGCTTAACAATTGTACGGATCAACGCAGCACCCAAGAGTCGCCTTGATTCCTCGATTCCGACAATAATCTATGATAGAAAAGTTCGATTACACGACTCCCTTTTCTCCCATCGCCTAGTGGAGTGTCTCGCGCTCTCGCTTATCGTGCATTTTGATTTCTCGAGCGTTTGTTAAATATAAGAAACAAAGGGACGGCGCGAGGAAGGTTGTTGGACGCGCTCATTCCAGGACCCAGCCCGAATGGCACCTCCAGAAAAAAAAAAATATAACGTTTCACGCCTACGAGGGGGTCCCAAGTTAAACCGGCGAAACCTTCGCGCGCTGCTTAAACTCTATGTACAATGGCGGACATGAATGCCTCCCCTGCAGTCACGGCATCGCCTGTGCAGGATGGGAGGGCATTGATGTCTCCCAGTGTACGATCAGTCTATTTCGTGCGACCGAACTCCCGCACTGCGAAGTTCGCTCGGCGCTTCTTCTTCGGGTTCAGTATCTCTCGGCAGTCTGAAACATGGGAGAGAAGTTTCATTAATGGAAATTGTAAACCTCTATTTCGAACCGAGACGCGAAACGACAAAAATATTCATACTCGACTTGAGCTTCGTGTGAAATTTTTCAATTTCCTTGAGAACTCCGATCAGGTGATATTACGTTAACGATCCCATTGTTCAGATATTAAATGGTACGATATTGGTAAACTGCTTCATATAGCTGCTAAATACTGCAAATGTTGCTCGAATATTGTAATGATGGATTTATGTAGAATAATCCATCATGACATACAAGAGCAATATGTATTCAATACTGCGGACGCATCTTAACAAAATACCGCGTGCCTTATCACATGTATCATGTATTGTAGCGATGTAATGTTTACTGGGACGTAGAATATTATATTAGCTCAATCTTGGCTAAGAATTGATAGTATTGAACGGTAGAAAATATTGGATAAATATTACACCGATACATTACCAATATGCGCTGCTACTGGGGGTTTGAATGCTACTATACTGATCGCGTTTTATACCGATGAATGTCACTATATCAAGTCACGATGTACGATCCGTATTAATAATTGATTTTCCTTTCCATACGTCTACATATATTCTATTTAAAAAAATAACATTTAATGTAAATTCTAACCGCATTACGGATTTACTCTGGCGGTTTCCATAAACTTTCATGAAAAAATGATAGAAACGCGGTTGCGTTGCTTGATATTTCTTGATATCGAGTTAAGAAGCGCGATCGCGCCGCTTATCATCTTTGATAATATTAACACTTTCCCGTCCGATGACACCAACACGAGAAACTCGACAATCAATAGCGCAGACGTGAAAGTGTTAATTAAGCGATACCACGCCACGGGGCACTATTCGATAATATTTTTGCAATAACCCCCGTCACTAAAATGGTTAAGAAGAAATTTCATTGCTCGCTTTTTATAAGTTTCTATTATTTACGTGAATGCCGGGATCAGGTATTGAGTCTTCGTAAGAGAATTGGATAAAATTGTTCTCAAAGATCTAAACATTTGCCTTTGCGTTGGAAAAGATTCACGGAGTGCGCAATTAATATCTTGACTGATGAGTAATACTGCCGTACAATGATCGATACTTACACTTCTCAACCTATCGCGCCCGCCGAAGTTCCTAATGGACTCCAGGAGCTGGTCTCTGGGATCCAGATTAGCGGGCATAGATTTGGGCCTAGCACTGGCGTTCTTCAAGGTCACACCTGTGATAACAGGCATAGTTGGAGGCTTCGGAGGTTGCGGAACCGCCTCGGGTCTTTCCCCAGCAACGAAACCGTTTTGCTTGACGTTGATGATCTTTGACTCGACGCGAGCCATCGGTACTTTGAACCCTTTAACGACCGGCATGGGTCCATTGACCTTCGTCGTGGTGAGGCCGCTCTTCAGGGTGAAGTTCCCACTTTGCGAGGAATAATTCGGACCCTGCGAGTGGATACCAACAACGGTGGTATACTTCTTAACCGGTACCGCTCCAGACTCATTGCTCGAGATTCCGTTCATGGTGACCCCATTGACCCGCTCGACTCGTTTGGGAATTGCGCTGGAGAACCCATTTTGATTGACCTTGGTGAAATTCGGAACGATCTCCGGCTTGGTGCCGTAATAATCCGAATGTCGGTTCTGCAAGACCGTCTTCGGCTTCGTCCTCGGACAGACATCCTGACCGAAGGCTCGAGTCAGTTCCCTGAAGTTCAGGGGCTTTTCGTCGACCTCGCCGTTCTCCTCCGTCCTCAAGATCTCGCGATTATCCTCGGGCGACCCCTTGGGCTCCGGTCCGGCTAAGGATTTATCTTCGATCTTCGACCTGGGTTCCGGAACGCCGACCTTCTTCAGCACTGGCCTTTTGAAACCTGCAACCGTGGCGTGGGCCGTCGACTTTCTTGCCAACTCGTCCTGGTACCTCGTTTCCGACTGGTCCCCGGGACCGGTATCACTGTCCAGGTGACCGTTCGTCACGGTTCTCTTTGGCAACGTTTTAGGGGAGCTGGGCTTGCTGGGTGATGGATCCCTCTCGTCCCTGGTCCCGTTCAAGCTCACGATTGTCTTCGGTCCCGAGGCATTGTTCCTCCCGAACTTGTAGTCGGTGTCCATTTTTATCTGGACATTCACACAGGGTCTCTCGGACCAGCTACCTAGACTTATGGTTGGAGGACCCGTGTAGGAGTAACGTTTTGTCTGCTCCTCGTTTCTCGACCTTTGGGGCTCCGATGGCGACCGGGTCTCCACGCCCGAAGACACGTTCGGTTCCACCGAACGTTCGCTGGACAGACTTTTTTGTCTGAAAAATAATCACACGTTTCATCCATTACAGTTAACGGAACCGCGGATCATTTCATTGAAATGTAATGTCTTAGGCTAAATAAATCATTTGTTTCGGATCAAAGTATTCTAGTTTACCCATCATTGCGTGATTGACAAAATCGTTGAAACGTATTAATTAAAAATAATATGCAATCATTGTGTCCTTTGAAACAATAGCTTCATTAAATCAACACGGCGACTCTTGCTCGGAACAAAATTAAATTCTCCTCCCGGAGAAATATGAAAATGCATATGTTTGTGGGAAAATTATTCACCTTTTGTCCTCGACGACGGGCGCTTCATTGGATTCCCGGAACACACTTTCGTCCGCCTGTTGAGTATTCTTCAACTGCGGCAAAATGCTCTTCAGAACCTGCAAACCAATAATAGATTAATGTTGAGGTTCTTCTACCGAAAACTAAGTGATAAAAAATCACGTCCTAATCTCTTCACCTGTAAGGATTGGAGCTGTTTCTCTTTCGTGGGTTCTTCCTGGCGTTTCAGAATGTTATCCCTCCACTGGGAGAACTTCTCGTTACTCCTGGGAGCCTCCCGACTTAAATTGGTCACGCTGACGGATTTCTTCATACCCTCTTCATCATCCCTTGATTTAGACCCTTCAATAAAGACCGCATCTCTTTCGTCGTTTCCCCTGTACTTGATGTTATTAGACAACGCGATATAACTCTTGGACCTGTGGACGTTATTAGACCTCTCAACGTCACCGTTAAATGACTGATGCCTCAACAGAGGATCTTGCGGCTTGAGGGAGCTCTTTGGTTCCGGCTTTTTCAAGTCCAGATCACTGGAAGAGATGTGATCCACGTTCTGCGAGCTGGAGAAAAACGGCTTACGGACGAGAGGGCCGCCACCAGGAACGACACCAACAATGGCTGTCCCATTCTGAGGTCGCATAGTGTCATCAGACCTCTCGGACGAGACCTTCTCCTTCTCCACCCCCGCAGGACTCTTCGTTGGCCTCTCTTCGACATGTTTTACCAGCGAAACACCTTGCTGTTCACCTTCGTCATAGATGTCCAAACTCCTCTGCCTAGAATACGTGGTGATGGTGAAGTTCGACAAGGTATTGTCGACGGGCGCGATCTTGGGAGCAGACCGACCATTTGGCGTCTTCTTTGCCTCCAATTCGCTCGACTTGGAATTAGAGTGATGGTTCAAGCATCCGGTTTCGATCTTGCTCTCCAGCTCGGAGATCACTTCCTTCTGAAGGGAGAGATCTGCGGTACTTCTGTAAATCTCTTTAGGGATGTGGTTTACCTGCGAGCGTTTCTCTACCGGTGTGGGCATTTTCTCAACGTGTTCTCCCTCGTTTTCTGGTGCCCTTGATTGTTTAGGATTGGTTTTCAAAGGATTTGAGCATAATTTCATCTTTTTATCCTTGGACTTTGGATCCTCATGCGGGATCGTCCCACTGATGAGTGGTTGGTCCGCCTTTGCAGATCCTGGAGTATCCTTGAAAGCTTCCACTGATCTCAGAGTGATCGTTTCGTAGCCCTCAAGGGTCGATGAATCTGAATCTCGAAATGCTGAAGGAGGTGCTGGTAATTGGTACTCCCAATCAGTTATCGACAAATCTTCACCCGTTGCTGATACGTAATCGGAGGTGTCCTGCTGGTGTACCATCGTTGCATTTGGTGTGCTGGCTCTCAAAACGGAAATATCCGAAGATGTTGGCTCTTTTTTCGCTGAATGTACCGTACTGACAGAATTTACGGCCTCGGTGGATTGGACTTCGTGCAGAGCCTCTGCTGCTTTGTTTAATAAACTTTCGGTTGCAACGGGGGTTGTTTTTAGCTGCTTTTGGGGACATTCTAGATCTGGTGGGTGTGTCGGTGTTGATGGTGGCGATGGCAGAGAATTTGACAACGTGTCCGATACTTTCCGCAGCAGAATATCTGTTTCCGTTAGATTCTGCTCGGGGCCATCTGAAAAGGATAAGAAATACCAGAAAATTATTGTTGTGTCACTTAACTTAAGAACTTGATTAATTTAATTTTGTACCCGAGTGCAGCCAAGACCAAGACAAATTAAATAGAGTACATTGAGTTCGATTATTTCTATTTTAATCGAAGGTTTAGGCTTCGTTGACGAAATTCTATCAAACCATTTAATTAACTGCCTGATATCAATATGGATAATCAGACGATCATGTTCAATAATTATGTGAATATCTTTCCAAACATGATGGAAAAGAACAAAGAACGAAATTCTATACAGACATTGTATCAAGTAAATCAGAAACGGAAGATACCTTCACCATTCATGAACTTATGCCGGAACAAAATAGAAAGAAGTAGCTAATTGTTTTTATCAATTTCTCAGCCAAACGAATGCAATTACAGCCAATGATTTTTCATAGAGCTAAAACAACGGTAACCAAATCCATAGTGTTAGTAATGCGTGGACATGCACCTGAAATCCCTATCGCGGATTGATCACTCTTGACATCTTCTTCCGAGTGAACCATTCCTTTTCTGGTTATTTCGACTCGATCGATGGGTATCGATGAATTCGATTGAACTTCTGAATCGTTCGTATTTCCCTGGGAAATTTCTCCCAAATTCGTTGCATCGGAGTCCTTCCTCAAGTTCGATTTGTCTGCCACCTTGGACGGACTTTCAAGTCTAGCAGGAGCAGGAACATCCCTTCTCGTCGGAATATTCGAGGATAAATTGGTGTTGAAGGCGCACACAAAGTCTTCAGCATGTGAAGTCAAGTGTCTTCCATGACGCTCGGACGAGGAGAGCTCGAAGTTGTTCAATTCGGATTGGCTTCTGAAAATGTTGGTCCGTTTTGGGCTCTTTTCCGCCTTTTGGGGTATCAACAGATTCTCTGAACCTAACTCGATCTCTTTTTCCGTCAGCGAAGTCTTATTACAGTCTGAGCTTTGATTCGCATCTTCTTCAGTGCTTGGATGAACAGTGTTACTCTTCTTGAAGGTTGTAGTGGCAGCGATACCTATAGCCTTGCTAATTTCCAATTTTTCTTTTCTGGGCACTAAATGATCGCACTTAGGAATCGTGGAAATGACAGCGCAAGATCTCCTCTTCGGTGGATTCCCGATGCTCTTCAGCATCTCATCCTCGCTAGCGCAAGACTTGTATATATCACCTGTGCTTTTTGTCAGCTTCAGGGACGCATCCTTCGACACTCTTAGCCCAATCGACTCGTTATCGAACGATAAGCTCGCGTTATCGAGGCTTCTGGGCATGCCATCATCCACAAGGTACTTTCCCATCATTTCATCGTTGCTGGGATCGTGTATACCGATTTTAAATTGAATTCTATCCCCGAAAGTTCCGCATCCTTTTCTAAATATCCTTTCCGACGTCTCCGAGGACATCTGAGATTTATCATTCGATTCCTTCTCCGTTTCCGACACGTCGACGTTGTCTTCAAGTTTCCCTTCCTCAAAAGTTGAGAGATTCTCAGGTGACGGAACGCTTGTAAGATCTACCCCAGACTGTTCTATAGGGTCTTCGTTGCGGCTTGGAAGCATTTTCCTTGACTCTTCGTCATTCTCTTCAGCGTCGCTAACGTTTTCCTTCCCAGTGCCGAGATTCTCGTGAACGAAACTTGGATGTTCCTCGACATTTGCATAATTTCGGACTCCGGTGGGACCGTCTTCGGAAGTCGAGGTATCGGATGAGGGACTAGCGGTTTCTACTTGCTGAGGACCATTTTCGTGGGCACCATTTACAGCTACGATGGGAGCTCGCTCGAGGGAAGTCCTAGGCAATGGCGATGGCAAGGGTGCTTTGCGTTTGGGTGCTTTGGGAAGAACGGCGACGATGCTCTCCGGATTACTCAACTTACGAGGTTTGGGTACGGGTACTCCAACTGTTCTCCAACGGAAAAGAAACAGAACCACCACCAAAGGATGGGTTAGTAAGCGGATTCAAATCCTACAAACTCGCTACGACTACTTCTACAAGTACAGATTCGCCAGGCCCATCAACGAGATCCCTTCCCAACGAGATCCAATACCCTTAATAAATCTTCCAAAACAATATTCTCAGCTTCGTTAATAATAAAAACAGAAAATATCTTACATAGACTCATTCAGATCGAATGCACAGAAATCTCATTGAAGGGCGCAATGTTCAATCGAGTTCCTACATTTTTTACAGATAGAAACGTGCAACTGGGAACAGGTAACATCTAGAATTCAAGAGTAATCAACTGATTGCAGGTAGGCATGCTATCATTCATCCTTACTCATAAGTGAAAATAGTACCAACTATCGAGAAAGATACACAGAGGGAAAAATCTTGAAGTGGGTGAGGTGTGGAGATTTAATTACGGATCAATTAGATCAGGGACGACGACTAGACGAACTCGCCGGTCCTGCTCTCCAGGATGGAGTTCAACTGGACCAGGAAATTGTTCCAATTCTCGTTAGACTCTTGGCGACTGACCAGTCCAGGTGGCGGAGGCTCTAGAATGCTTAATTTCCTGTCGGCGGTAACCTTATCGTGATTGATTATCGGCAGAGAGGGTAGTCGATCGATATCATTTGGTATCGAGTCCATGGGAGCGACCTGAATGTCTACAGGTTTGGTGGATATCGCAAAGATCTGTAAATTGCTCAGCAGCGGAGGAGATAGATTCCTCTTTCCCTCGTCAGGATAATCCGGTATCTCGAGAGTGTCCGCGGACTTGCTCGCAGTTATGGGGTCCATGTAACACCTGACCGTGTTGAGATCTCCCAACTTTGGCGTTCCTAAACCAGACCGACCTATGGGATCCCCAAAACTGGGGACATTCGGCTTGGAGCAGAAGCTCCTGGAGGTCGTCAAACAAGGCTTCTCGAAAGCGCTGATGATCTTGGTATCCCTCAGTTTAATGGTGCTCTGAAAACTGGCACTATGTGTCAACGTCTTGGAATTTTTATCGCTGCAGGCGTTATTGTCCAGATAACGTATCCCAGGACTGCACCGACTCCTAAGGGCTCCAAATTCCAAGACCTTATCGCAATCCGGGTCCAGGTCGTCCAAGTTGGTCACGGTTTGCATCTTGGACAGCTTCTTGTAGGACTTGGAGTTTTCGTACTTTGCAAACGAGAATACTTCTTCGATCGACTCCAAGGAGGATGCAACTCTCTGTCCACCTTCAAGACTGGTCGCTCTTGGATGAACTCTGTCATTTGCCTTCGAGGAACCACGACAGGCAAAGCTCTGAGACTTCTGCAGCTGCCTCAGGTCGTCATACTTCTTTCTCAACTTAACAGACTCAGGAACATCCGCCAGTCCAGAACCGAGTTCGGAGTAACTTCCGGGAATTTTAGAAAAATCCCCATCGGGTCTCCCAACACCATCCACGCCCTTGTGGTGGAGACGATAGTCCTCGATCCTGTTCTGCAGCTTGACCTTCTCCAAATCGAAGTTCTCGCTGTGTCCCTTGAAGTGATCGAAATTAATCTCGATGCCCTCACCCACTTCAAGCACGTTTTCCAAGCTACTCCTGGATACAAAGCTGTAGGAGGGTAGGTAGTTCTCTAAGCTACTGGAAGAACGCACGAGCTTACCTCTCTTCGCTACTCTAGCGGGTTCTACATGAGGAGGATCCTGAATACATTCCCTGGAAGGTATCTCCGTCTCCGAGACGGTATGCTCCAGGGTTTTCGAGGTCACTTCTGGTTCCTGGTCCCTCGTGTCGGTCTCAGGCTTTCTGGCGATCTTGGGGGAGGAATTTGGTCCCACGTCCAGGTCGGATCGACTCTTGGACTTGGGCTCTGATTTGCGCTTCGACTCCAAGGAGTTGACGACGATGTCGGAAATCGCTTTCCCGGAGTGGACGTCGATGTCGGAGTTCGCCTTGGAGGGAGCTCCGATGTCTGACGGTGGTTTTGACAAATCCATGTCGGATGTTAACGACTCCTCCGAGTCGACGATACGTTCCAACGCCTGCGTGGAGATCGCCGAGGACAAAGGCCTCGCTATCGGTGGTGGAGGAGCCGCCCTTTTCTTTCGGAGACCTGAAGATAAGAGAAATGGTTAGTTTCTTTTCATTTTCGGATCGGATGGCACTGATCGTACCTGGAACGCATCTGACTTACTTGTGTTCGATTCTGGGGGCGGTAATGCGGTAATGGACACACGTATTGATCAGGTGCGGTATCGTTAAATCTTAGACTCGATTTTCAACTTAAACTATCAGACTAGATTCCGAATTCATTCGTGCAGAAATTTCGTTTCCTTACTCAAGATATGTTCCTAAAAGGACCTGGGTCAAACTTTGTCAACGATGAAAATAAAACTGATGTATTTTTTTTCTCTAAAGGATTAAGGTGGTATGGAAGGGACGATTAAGAAACTTCTGCAAGCTGAGTTTACCGAATTGTTTGAAATTTTACCACCTTAATGCGGAGACCTTAAGGATGATCCTGACATCCGTGAAATGTTCTTTGTTATTATAAAAGAAAGTAAGAAATGGAAATCTCACCGTAGTAACATTTCAAACTATTAGGTACATCCAATTTGATAAAAAATATCATATGTGAAATCCTTCAGACTTACATATCACCTTAATATCTGATGACCAAAACTATTACATTCCCATGTATCGAACCATATCTTATCCGGCATAAAGATTGATGCATAATCACACATATGAGCAGATACTACAGATAAGATACTGATACTGAAAGGTATATGAGATCTCTTCCCTAGTCCCTACAATAAATACGGTAGTTCTGGTCATCATATTTTCAATCTCTCCCCAAATTTCGCAATTAAATCATTCCCGAAGTTAAACGATCTGATTTTAATCCTACCATTAGCCAACTGTAGTCTGTCAAAGTAACTCATATTCTCCTAGAATATGTTTGCAGGATCAAATTCAAATCCCATGAAAATGATATGAATCTCAAAACCAATCCGAATAAGACACATTTTATCAAGGTAATCCACCGAATAGGCTGAAATTATAGCACATGACTCGTGAACACCTAGAGAACATCCTCACATTCTCAAAGAAAATGTAGGCTAAAGCATAATATTTCTTTCGAAAATAAAAATGTTGAAAATGTCCGGACATTCCTCAGGTGGTAAAATTTCTACCAATTCCGTTAAAACAGAGTCTTATTGGAATCGATCGATTGGTTTCGCATCGACATTAGTATTTCAAGGTGAAGAACTTCATGAAACCTTACCAGTGGAGCTGAGCGAAGTGTTGCTGATTCCATGCTGCATGCCGCTGGAAGCAGCAGCCAGATTTCCAAGACTCTTGCTGGCCTGGGAAGTCTGGGCGAGTTTCCTGGAGGTTTCCACTTGACCTGGGGGTCTGCTCCTCCTGGGAAGCGTTTCCGGCATGCGAGCCGCCGAATCGGGATTATCACTCAGAACGGAAGCCTCGTGATATCCCGAGCTGTCGCTGCTGTTTCTGCTATGGCTTATGACGATCTTCTCCTTGGAGGGATCCCCGGAGTTCTCTTCGGCCTCCATCACAGGAGGTTTCGGAGCTGGTCTCCTTTTTCGGACGGGCCTTGCAGGAGGGGCCAAAGGACTCGCACTTCGACCTGTTTCGTCGCTCCTGGCGGGGGATGCACTTCGTCCTCCGAGGCTGTCGGTGCTCAAGGAGCTCTCCTTCGATTTCTTGAACATGAACCCGAAGACCCCCTGCTTGGCTTGTTGCCTCCTTCTTTCCTCCTGCCTCTGCAGTGCCATGATGTCCTGCGAGCTCAGGGCTGACCCCAGGGTCTTGCCCTGTTTCGCGTACAAAGTCACCTCCTGCAGGTGGTAGTCCTGGAGCGACAAGGAGAGGTCCAATGTCTCCTCTAGGTTGGCTGGAAGCAAAGGAATGCGAATTTCAAATATGATCATCGATGAGAATTGAAGATAAATTTACATATATATATGCGGTCCTTGATTGATTGACTGACTGACTCATCATCGTCTAGTCGAAACCGCTAAGCCTAAAATTGTGAAATTTCGAGGGTACCTATATTTCCTTCGTAACTCTCTAAAGGTGCTCTTTAAAACGAAATTTTTCCAAATTTAACGAATTCAACCCTTAAGAGGATGAAAAGGAGCAAATGTGTTGTTACAAATTTCTTAATATCTTCGAAGCACGCTAACTTACCGACTTGGTTTTTACTTACAAGGAGTACAAATTCAAATGCCTAAATTCAAATTTCAGGATTTTGCCCTAACCAGCCCCGAAGTGAGTTAAAAGGAGTTTGAATGAAGAAATTGATTGCATTTATGAATTTTGAATTCTGCTTTCACACATCGCAAGCGCAGCTACGATGGGGGGGCTAATGTACACTGGGAGACATCAATGCCCTCCCATCCTGCACACGCGATGTATCTGCAGGGGAGGCATTCATTTCCGCCATTGTACGTGTAAAAATATGCCTAAATTATCATTCCAATTCGGTATGTCAATTTTTTCTTCCCTATTATTCGAACGGCAAGCTTAAATATCGACCTGTATGAACGTTGCTTTAAAAAAGCAACGTTTTAACGCACTTAAGACTTGGAACTTTTATTTTTAATAATTTCAGAATGTTTTGTTTAAGTAATTTTTTATAGGTATTACAGATTAGATGAAAATGGATTGAGAGAAAGAAATCGTTTTGGATTGGAAAAGATTAATATTATAATTCGTGGGAATTTCTATCAAGATTTATTATTTAATATTTCAAGATAATCAACGACTTTCACAGCGAAGTATCACAGACTATTTCGTTTAATGCTTTGTCAGAAAGACATTCAACAAGAAATCGTTAAAGTTCTTTTATCCTGCGCGAGAGTAAAGAAAAATATACACGCCTTCCGTTTAATAAAACATCGATAACCATGAAATCTCAAGAAATATGATCTTGAAAAATGAATGTCCCGTTATGAATAACGGAACGGTCTCATTGTTCATTGGAATAAAACATGATAAAATATAAACCGCGTTAAAAATGCGCAGAGGATTTTTTTCACGTTACGTAAATACACATTTCAATGCGTAGAATTGTAATTATTCTGATGTGGTGGATGAGATTAATCAGAAATTAACTCACAAAGTCGTTTCAGGTACAACGAGGTATTCATTACAGCATGCATTATTTTAATTATGTCTTTAACTTATTACTTAACTCCTTAAATCCAAACAGTTTTCTAGTTTATTGTTTATCAGAATAGACCGAGATAGGGCAATTGGATGGAAGTTGGATGAAAGAAAATCGTATATTTTAAAAATCGACTCGATATTGAAGCCCACCTCCTTCCCACAACTGGGAAAAATGAATAATAAATAATGATCATTGAAGGCGTTAGTAGAAGAAAGTAGCCCAATTACCTTGCACATCAAGGAAGAGGAAGTCAATGGTTAATGAAATTCGACACTCCTGTTAAGACGTTCCTACAGTCGTTCATCCGATTCGGAGACAAGCTGAAGGAACACTGAATACTGTTCATCTCTGGAAGTCTCCAGGGAATGTTCAACCAACAGGACATGCCGAGTTGGTAATCAAGGTAGAGTCAAACGTGGTAACGAGATAACGGGCAAGACAACTCGACGAACTAGTCTTCAGGTTTCAATTCTCTAATTTATACATAAAACTGACATAAAACCGTACACCCTTCCTTCACAGCTTTTAGTCCGTACCTAAGATTTAAATGAAACATATTGTACCTAATTTATACATAAAACTGAAATAAAGCAGTACGCCCTTCCTTCACAGCTTTTAGTCTGTACCCCAGATTTAAATGAAACATATTGTACCGACTTGTTGAATTTTATTGTAGGCTTTAAATAATACAAACTTGACTTCAATTTTCCGCTTAAATGAATGAAATTGTTGCAGTACCTCACAGACAGACTTTCCTTTCCTGTCGCCTATTAATAACGTTAATAGACTAAGACGGTTCAATTTGAATTTCACCTGGGAGAAGCAAACGACTTATTTCTGAAAATAGACAAGGCCATCTAGTCCTAGCGAGAGTTGCTGGATTTAACTATGAATATAATCTAAGAAAAATATAATACTCGCTGAAGTCCTCGGTCTCATCAGGACACGTCGAGGAAGAGGAAATCCACCTCGCTAATGAAATTCAGCACTCCCGTTAAAAGACCTTCGTACAGCTGTTTCGCCGGTTCGGAGACCAGCAGAAGGAACACTGATAATCTCAGCAAATCCGCAGAGAATGTCGAATTCACAGGATATACTGAACGGATGTTAAGTCATTCCAAAAGCTCTGTCGATTTTGTAGGCAAACCGAAGCGATCAGAAAACGACAGAACATTTGGAATGACTTAATGGGCCTCCCTAAGTGGTGACAACCAAAAAATAATATTGTGAAAAATGAAGACCCGTCGAGTCGCATCTTTGAGTCGAAAATACTCTACCAAAATAAAAAAAATAAAAAACACGAGCTTATAAGATACCCAAATAACGATAAGAATTATCTAAGACAGGGCAATCATAATTTCTCCTGGTTGGAACGTGAACTTCCCAATACCATTCTTCAATGATTACCGATGATGGAAAATTGTGAAAAACGAAGACTCGTCGAGTCGCATCTTTGAGTCGAAAATACACTGCCAAAATATTTAAAAAACACAATCTTATAAGATAAGTAACGAAAAGAATTATCTAAGACAGGGCAATCATAATTTCTCCTAGATGGAACGCGAACTTTCCAAAGTCATTCTTGAATGATTACCGATGACGGAAAATTGTGAAAAACGGAGACTCCTCGAGTCGCATCTTTGAGTCGAGAATACTCTACCAAAATAAAATAAAATAAAAAACACGATCTTATAAGATCCCCAAGTAACGAAAAGAATGATCTAAGACAGGGCAATCATAATTTCTCGTGGTTGGAACGCGAACTTTCCAAAGTCATTCTTCAATGATTACCGATGACGGAAAATTGTGAAAAATGAAGACTCCTCGAGCTGCATCTTTGAGTTGAAATTCTCTGCCAAAATATAAAGAAACACGATCTTATAAGATACCCAAGTAACAAAATGAATTATCGATGACAGGGCAATCATAATTTCTCCTAGATGGAACGCGAACTTTCCAACGTCATTCTTCAATGATTACCGATGACAGAAAATTGTGAAAAACGAAGACTCGTCGAGTCGCATCCGGCACGTCGAGGTAAAATCCAGGGGTTTCGAAATTCGGCGGGGCCGATCGCGGCCGATTCGGAGCCGAGCCGGAGGAAGACTGCTCGTCGAGTCCCCGGGGAGTGTCGAACCCGCGGGACGTGCAGATAGTAAAGCTAAAACGTCGTAACGAGTTAACGGGCAGAACAACAACTCGACGAGCCAGCCTTGGCGATAGCGGTCTTAACGACCTCGCGGCATATAACTATCTGAAATGTACAGCGCTGCAGGTTCTTAGAGCTGCCGGCCTAGACACGCGTATACCCGGGCCCCGGCACCGTAAAAACGTCACTGCCGCTTCCTCCGGCCCCTTAAACTTTTATTCCCGATGGCCACGCCGAGGAGCAAAACCGGTACGCGATCGGGAATTGCGTCCTATCGGCCTCTCGGTGGAACCGCCGACCCTGACCTTACGCGCCCGAATTCGAGCCGAGTCGAATCCAACCGGAACTCCGCATCTTTTTCGATTCCTCATCCCGAGCGAATCCTTTCAAAAATCAAGTTCCAGCAAAATATCGCGTATTTATTTCATTAAGGTGAAGTGAAACCCCCTTCAAATCAGTCGATTCGAATATAACACTTTTTTTTTAAGGGTATTACACCAAACTGTCCGAAACTTTGACACATCACTCCTGATCATCTAAGAATTGTCCTGACGCATTAAAAATTTGGATTTTTGGACAAAACTTTTTAACTTAGCCCAGACCAGAATCAAAATGGCGTCGAGCTCTTATATTTCGATCAATATACAATTATAGAAGGCTCTGATATGAGAATCGAGAGGGTCAGGAGAATTTTACAACAATTTAGAACACTCTGGTTATCGATAAACTCGCATTTGAACGGGATAAAGGCAAAAAAAGTGTTGTATGCGCTTCTATGCTAAAACGATGGGAATACGAGATCTTGGAGTGGAAATTTAATTGATCTGGAAATCACAGATGGCGCAGGGGGTCCCTCTGCAGTCAATTAGGACCCCAGAAAGCATGCATCCAGAGGATTTCTGGAGTTTTACTTCGATTCCTTGATATTTATTGTACGAAAACGACAGGTGGAGTATGCCATTTGGTACAACATCCAATATAATTCGACACAGCTGTCAATATAAAAACGAACGTCGGCAACGTAGGTATTTACAAAAATTTTCTTTATCAACGTCGATCAAGTTACTCGACGTGTTTCACTTCACCTTAACCCTGGGTAATGGGCGTTTCATGTGTACCCGTTTATCCGGACATTGAATTGACGAATGAACGAAAAACCGCATTTTCAAAAAAAAAAAAATAAAAAAAGATTGATTTACTTCACTTAGAAGCAACTTAATTGTGCATCTTTAACTAAGAAACTCAGTTGCGTGATATTATGTAGCTACATAATATGAAAAAATTTCAAATAATTTCCACGGTTTATTTTCAATTAGTTTTTAGTCTACTTCATTTTATTGTTTGGAATGTATTCCGTGTTGACCCGGAAGGGAATCGCGTTTTGTCGGACTTCGATAGAACCTAACGTATCAGTGACAACCCTGACCTAGCCAAACGCGAATCAAAGTCATCGAACTTTTCATGTAATTTTTTCAATTTTTACTTCTTAAAAAAAACACTTAAAAGGAACGGGGACTAGCTACTGTTAAAGTTTCCTTTTCCTGGAAACGACACTTCGGCAAATTTTAATTTC